ATAGCAGGATCCTCCAGTACTCTCCTCACCCCAATGGGCCACCTTCGTTTGGTATCCTAAAGGGGAAATATATTCCTCACATGGATCCTGAGCTAGCACACGCTACTCAATCTAGGCCATTGCCTCCGCACGGCTCTGCTCCTCCTCCTAATTCCTCTCCTCCCGTGTTCGTTGTCTTTCTTGTCTGGTTATTTTCTTAGCAACCTACTTTACCCAAAGTGTGGAAAACCACCTCTTCTTCATTTCTCAAAGTGTACTGTTCATCACATAGTTCTTTTATCAAAGGTTTAAGGTAACAGAAAGGTCCCTGAGTGATGCAAGCTATTCCCACTCAACTATTAACCAAAAGGTTGGTGGTACGGATTTACCCAGTGACAATGCACAAGAAAAGTCCTGGTAATCTACTTCTGTACGATCTCAGCCATGGAAAATTCTATGGAGTACAGTTCCGCTATGAAACACACGGGGTCGCCAGGAGTCAGAATCCACTTGATAGCAATGCTTTTTGGTTTTAATTATAACAGTGCAGAAAACAACTTCAAATTGATTATTATATAATACTATTAACAAAAGTTCCTTCACCTTCCTAATCATCTTTCTCCTTAAGTCCCTTCCTGTTGCCATGGTCCTGGAGCCTTCTCTTTCCCTCAGCTCCAAACCTCTCTCTTCTATTTCTTATTCCTATCAACCATCAACCTCAGCCAAAGAGGGGCATTTCTCAAATTTCTGTTACTTTACTTTGCAAAGGGAAATATAAGTTCTTTTCTTTTAGACATTGTCTAAAGATCTGTTTTTCACAACTAAAAAGCCCATGAAGGCTTTTGTTTTCTAAACAAAAGTGTACTTTTTCTTTCTTTCTTTGCTATAAGGAATGTTCTATTCTCCTAGGTTTCCTGGCAAAAGCTGCAGTCCATCACTAAAATAATATTTTCCCCCTGTTATGAAAACATATGAAATTTTACAGTCAAATAACAGTTGTACTCTTCAAAGAAGCTCATGACAGGCTATTCATTTACTAAAATGATGTTATCATCACTCCAAGCCATTTGAATTATCTTCTAGAGAGTTTACTAATTCTCCAAGAAAAGTGGCTTACTATTGTGTAAACTCAGAACCTTTCTTTGGCCCATTTTCATTTCTTATCTGTCCCCTAATTTGATTTCTCATTCCATCATTCCTACATTCATTCATTCATTCAAGCAGCCAATCAGCATGGTGTTAGGTGTGGGAAACATAGTTTTTGTACTCAAAGGACTCTCAGTCCAGAAGGAGCTGTATCAGTGCTGCCTATGAACCAAGAGACTGAGAGACACAGAGGCACAAGGAGAGAAAGAGAGAGGTTCTATGTGATTATACTGAGATTTTAAATCAGAGGATTCTTACCAGGCCTGTCACAAGTTTATATGGATACTTCAGGCTTGAGAAGGAAAGCTACTGCCTGCAGACTCATCAAGCCCCCAGCCCATAGATGTACATGGCACATTTCTGCACGTAGGCTATTAATGCTACTGATACTGCTTCCTTTCTGAAAATATTGTTAAGTGTATACAGATCATGTAATGCTTAAAATTGAACTGTCCTAAATTTGAGCTGCTCTGGTAGTGTAGTGCCTAAAGCACTTGACTGCTAACCAGAAGGCTGGCGGTTCAAACCCACCAACCACTCCTTGGAAGGAAGGTTGGGCAATCTACTTCCATAGTGATACTGTTTCAGAAACCCAAGGAGGGGTTGCTATGAGTCAGGGCCGATTCCATGGCACTTAACAAGAACAACAATTCCATTTGTTCATCCATTCAACTAAGAAGTATCTGCAAGTGTTTATTTACTATATCCTAGAAGAAAATTAGATCCCTGAGTGGCACAAACAGTTTGTGTTTGACTGCTAACCTAAAGGTTGATGGTTCAAACCCACCTAGGGGTGCTGCAAAAGGCCTGGTCATCTGTTTTCCTAAAGATTCCAAACCAAACCCATGGTCATCCAGTCAATCCTGACTCATAGCAACCCTTTAGGACAAAGTAGAACTGCCTCATAGGGTTTCCAAGGCTGTAAATCTTTACTGAAGCAGATTGCTTTTTCTTTCTCACATGGAGCTGCTGGTGGGTTCAAACCATTGACCTTTTGGTTAGCAGCAGAATGCCTTAACCACTGTACCACTAGAGTGTCTTTCCCTAAGGATTACAGCCAAGAAAACCCTACAGAGCAGTTCTACTCTGTAACACATGGAGTTGCTATGAATTGGGATCAACTAGATGGTAACAGGTTTGGTTTATTTTGGTTAAGAGAATTACTTGTAACCACAGCTCTATCTACTGCATATCACATTCATTTATAACTATTATCAACTGAATGAACAAAGGCAAGAACTGTCTGTTGTTCTATGGTTACCATAACAGATCTGCAAAACGATAATTTTGAGTCATCAGTACCTCCAAAGTACTTCTATCTAGTACTTTGGAGGATAGGCAAACATATAATACATTTCATAAAGACTTCCCCAAAAGTAAGCAATTTACTCTCTGCATCTGAAGAGTTAATCTTCTTTTACTTAAAACACAATAAAATACTAAAAAAAAAAAAAAAAGTGAATCTTCAGCTATATGGGAAATTCAGATATTGAGAAGGAGATACCTCTTTGCCCCAAGGATACCAGAGAAGAAGTCAAGTGTTTTTCCACTCTGCCACTGCTTCTATAAATATTTACAGTCTCTAATTTTAAACTAAATAAAAGAAACAGAAACCCAAACCCACTGCTGTCCAGTTGATTCCAACTCAAAGTGACCCTATAGGACAGAGTAGAATTGCCTCACAGGGTTTCGAAGGCTGTAATCTTTGCAGAAGCAGACTGCCTCATCTTTCTCCTGATGAGCAGCTGCCACATTCAAACCGCTGCCTTCTCAGTTAGCAGCTAAGTGCTTTAACTACTGCACCAGCAGAGCTCCTGCTCCTCACAGCAAACCAAAAAAAACCAAAGTCACTGACATCGAGTTGATTCCAATTTAAAGTGACCCCCATCGGGTTTCCAATGCTGTAAATTTTAACGGAAGCAGACTGTCTCATTTTTCTTCCATGGAGTGGCTGGTGGGTTCAAACCACTGACCTTTTGGTTAGCAGCCAAGTGCCTTAATCACTACACCACCAGAATTCCTCTCCTCACCCTAGTTAGCCAAAAATCTTTTCCCCATCTAAACTGTCCAGAGAGCCCTGGACTAGTATTTTCCCAGATCCCCAGAACCCTGACCAAATCTTGGACCTCATTGCTGCAACCATAGTAATTAGTTTTCCTTTCACTTGCTCAGTGATAAAACTAAAAGCAATTTAGTTTAGAAATTGGCATATCTCCTCTGTCTCTGAGAATTAAAAGAGGCCCATATGCTTACCGGATACCCCCCAAAGTCTTTAACTATACTGAGAGAAACAAAACAACTAGATCAAAACCAAACTTCAATCATTTAATTAGCCAAAGCCCAAACTTCCCTGATGAACACATTCTTTGCTGAAAGGCACTGCTATGAGTGAGATATGTTATAGATAATGAAATGCCTACACATATCCAGCACTTACATTTGTAAGTTTTTGTTTTATTTAAACGTGGTTTGGTGATGTAGTGGGTAAGGCATTTGGCAGTTAACTAAAAGGTCAGTGATTCAAACACACCAGCCACTCTTCAGAAGAAAGATGAGGCAGTAGCTTCCATAAAGATTTACAGCCTTAGAAACCAATAGGGGTTGCTATGAGTCAGAATCCACTTGATGGCAGTGAGTTTGGTTTGATTTGGGAGGTGTATGCAATTTCTTTGAAAATGAGATAAACATCCAATGTTAGTAACATTTAACAAACTTCCTAAACTTTGGTATAGGATTTTAATTAAATCAACTGGCTAAGTGAAATAACTCACAAAAGGACAAATATTGTATGATCTCACTTATATAAAATATCTAGAATAGGCAAATATATATAGGAAAATGTTTACTAGTAGCAGTTACCAGGAGCAGGTGGGAGGGAGGGAGAAAGGGAAGCTCACTGCTTGTGGGAACACTGAACTTCTAAGGGTTAGGGGTGATGGGAAATCTGAAAATGGATTATCAGTAATGTTTGCACAATGTGATGAACTAATTAATGTTATTGAATTGTACATGTGAAGGATGTTAAAATGGAAAACGTTATGTTATATATGTACTTACCAGTATAAGAGAAAGAAAAAATAAAATGGCTTCAGAGACACTGCCTGGCTTTGAATCCCAGTTGAAGCTCTTAGCAACTGAGAGACTCTGAGCAGATTATTTAATCCCTTTGAACTTTAGGTTCCTCACTTATATGAAACAGGATGAATAATCTAGTACCAACCACAGAAGATTGTTTTACAAATTAAATGAGTTCAGTACTTAGAATTATACCTGGCATGTAGTAAGCACTCAATATATAGCATCTGTTATTATTGTTACTATTAATAATTGCTCTTGCTACCTATCTGAAGAATACTGAAAGTACCACAGACTGCTAAAAGAACCAACAAATCTGTCCTGGGAGAAGTGCATTCCAAGGAATGCTCCTTGGAAGTGAGAATGGTCAGACTTCATCTCACCTACTTTGGTCATGTTGTCAGAAGGGACCATTCTCTGGAGAAGGATACCATGCTTGGTAAAGTGGAGGGTCAACAAAAGAGGGGAAGGCCCTCAACAAGATGGATTGACATGGTGGCTGCAGCAATGGGCTCAGGTATAGTAAGGTTCATGAGGCTGGCACAGGACCGGGCAGTGTTTGGTTCTGTTGTATATAAGGTAGCTATGAGTTGGAGACGACATGATGGCATATGACAACAACCTAGCTGCACAAAACTTAGCAATACTATAATGTTTTTGAAAAAAAGATTAAAGTGATTTTAACAGTTTGATCACTTGTTTTCTTCATAATAAGAACAGCAATAATAAATAAAAGTCAACTACAGATAGTCATATATACTAAAATTATAAAGTACAAATGTCATACGTTTACAGCTTACCTCAAAGTCTATCAGCTGCAGGTCAGCTATGAGGGTCACCAGCAGCCCACTATTGTAGAGTTCCTGTGCCAGCTGAGCCACTGCTTCTGTTGGGGGCTCCTTGTCATTGGTACCACACAGAATTTCTTTCATTGCTTGTAGTGACTTTGACACTTCTTCTGAGGCCTAATGACAATATATATATTGTTTTAATATATATATATGCAAACAGTTAGAATAAAAATTTTCAGGCAATAATAAACCGAGAAATAAATAAAAAAAAACCTACTTCTTGGGTCCTGTTTGCTTGTAATCAAACAATATTGTACAGTTAACAAAAAAAAAAAAAAAAAAAACCCACACACACATACGCACAAAATCCACTTAGTGGACATCATTTTTTATTTTGAAAAAAGTTACTAAAATTTGATTATGTGCATTTATATCTACTTCTACAGCATTTCTACCTAGTCAACATATTTGAAAAAAATCTTCCTTTAAAGTATACTCAGATATTGCCTAACTCAGCCAGCAATTAAATAAAAATGTAATTCATAAAAAATCACAATGAACCTGCTTTGAATTCTTTGCAGTCATTGCTAGTCTTTATTTAAAACACTGTATTTTGTCAACAAATCTGTATTCTGATTTCTTAACAGACAGATATAAAATTAGATCCATAAATTTTCTTTATCAATCCCCTTATCCTTTATATGTAGTCATTACCTTCTTTGTCAACTACAAAACTTTAAAACACACATACAACCTGAAAGAGCCTTGAGAACATTATGCTAAGTAAAAGAAGCCAGATACAAGGGGCACCCATTACATGAGTCCACTTATGTGGAATGTCTAAAACAGGCAAATCCATAGAGACAGAAAGCAGATTAGTGGCTGCCAGGGATGGGGGAAGGGAGGAATGGGGAGTGACGGCTTAATGGGTATGGGTTTCCTTTTGGGAGGACAAAAGTGTTCTGGAACTAGTTAGCTGTGATGTTTGTGCAACAGCATGACTGTTGTAAATGTATGAAGCATACATTCAAAAATGGATAAAATGGTGAATTTTATCTCAATTAAAACAATTTTTTTAAAAAAATAATAACCTCACTAAATTTTAAAGAATCAGACTGTTATATCTTTTTCCCATGGAGCTGCTGGTGAGTTCCAACCAAACTTTTCAGTTAGCAGCTGAATTTTTTTTTTTTTTAATTGTGATTTGGGTGAAAATTTACAGAGAAAATTCATTTCCATACAGCAGTTCACATACACTTTGTCTCATGACACCCACCACAATTTACCACAATGCAACAGCTCCCCTCCCACTTTCCTCCTGATAGTTACCTCTTCCCTGTGTCCATCCCTCCATGCACTCCTGCCCCCTGAGCCGTCCCCCTGTGCATAAACAGCCCTTCTTTCTCCCATGATTGTTCTCTCCAAGGAGTGTATCTACTTGAGGTAAATGTTCAACTCATATGCCTGTCTTTTGTTTGCTGGAAACCACAGGTGTGGGTTCAATTCCAGACCTGAAGGGCAGCTAGGGGCCATAGTCTCAGTGGTTCCACCAGGCTCT